ATGGCCCCCGCCCCCGCGCCGCTCCCAGGCCCCGATCCCGAGGGATCCGGCGCGATCCGCCCCCGGTCCCCGGCGCCGGCCCGGGGACGCGGCTCACCTGGGCTCAGGCCACGGGCTCCATCTACGGGGAAAGCCGAGGAGCTCCCGACGGTTCCCGGCTCCTTAATTTGGATTTTCAAGGCAGAGGATTTATGAATGAACGGGGCCCCACCCACCCGGGATCTGGGGCGTCACGTGGGCCTCCGGCTCATACAACAGCAGCCGGGTGGGGGTGCAAGGGGGGATGAATAATGCCCCGGGATGCAGGCGGCAGGCGGGGGAGCATGCTATAATATAACCCCGCTCCCCCTACAGCCCCTGCCTGGATCCTGGAGGTTTTGCATCATTCCCTACAAAGCCACCCCCACTCGGCTCTAGGCCCAGGCCGGGGACCCGCTGCCCCCGCTCCAGGCAGGGCTGGCCAGAGACAACAGGAGTGCTAGGGGCTTCTTGGGTGCAGCCCCCGGCTGGGACGGCGGAGATGGGAGCCGTAGAAATGAGGCATGTACCGCGGCCCCCTGCTCCCAGCAGCACCGGCCCTGACAAAGCCCTGCCTGGGGTGATGGAGTTGGGGCTGGTCCTGCTTGGAGCAGGGGGTTGCACTAGATGTGACCCCCCCCCCCCAGGCCCCTTCCAGCCCTCATTGTCTGTGATTCCCAGCTACATCACCCCAGCCAGGGCTTTGTGAAGCCGGGTCTTAAAACACCTCCAAGGATGGAGATGCCGCCACCTCTCTGGGCAGCCCCTTCCAGCGCTTCCCCACCCTGCTCGAGAGCTTTTCCTAATACCCAACCTCAACTTCCCTTGCTGCAGCTTGAGCCCATTGCTCCTTCTGTCGTCTGCCCCACTGAGACCAGTGCAGCTCCACGCTCTGACCAGCCAGGCCTGCTGGGTTCCTGTGCCCCCAGGCCCTGACACAGAGCGGGGTAGCAGGGCCACAGAGCGGGGTAGCAGGGCCATGGGGCACTAGGACTACCCCCCCCCATCCTAGCGGGACGGGGCAGTGGAGCGTGTTGCAGCCACCTTGGCAGGGCTCCGAGTTGTGCCCTAGACTGTCGCGGGCCCAGATCCCTGGAGTGCAGGGGGGTATCAAGTACACCCCCCCCGGCCAAATGCAGGGGACTAAGGGCCAGGGCCACATTCGCAGCCATGTTTAACCCTTTGAGGAAAGCAAGGCTCTGAGTCTGTTTTAAGGGCCCTGGGGACCCTCGGTTGGGCTGGCAGCGTTGCTGGCTTTGGTTCCCGGCTGCAAAATAAGCAGCCCAGAGCTGCCGATATGGAGCCGGGGCTGCCAGCTGGCCAGCTCGGGCTGGGAGTCAGCACTATGGGATGGTCCAAGCTCCTCTGCAGGGAAGAGACGCCTCTTGGTGGCTGTTGGCAGATGCAGAACTCGTGGGGGTGGACACAGGGTTGGGGGTGGGGGGGCACAGGGACCAGCACTTACAGATCACGCAGCCCTGCGTGGACCGGGGCTGCCTGGAGCTGCAGCTTCTGGGTAGCACTTGGGATGCTGAGCCAAACCCATCTGCCTGAGACTGTACGGCGCTGTGTGTGGCCCAGCCGTGGGTAGCTGAGCCCTACGGAAGAGGGTAGCAGCCTACTAGTGCTGCAGGCCAGTGGAGTTTGCTTATTAGCTGAAGTGGTGGAGGCTTAGGCTGAAGGTTACCAGTCCCATCCCTGCTCATGACCCCAGCCGGGGACTGCTAGGGATGTCCAGGGGTAGAAGGTGGCATCTTTGCTAAGCCGCCTCCAGCACAAGTAGCAGGTGCCAGCAGGGCCAAGACATCCCCAGAGTTGGCGGCTGTTCTCTTGACCCTGAGCTCTGTCACTCGGGCAGTGTCCTGGGGTGAGATGCTGCAGTGCTCATGCAGCGGCCCAGGCCTGAGCAGCTCTCGGGAAGGTCACACCATCCCCCCAAAGGGCCTTGCAGTGCGTCCTACCCCACATAGACCCAGCACTTGTGAGGCAGAGCGGCCCTGGGGGAGCGCAGGCCACGTGCGTGGTGATGCAGAGAGCAGGGCATGTCTCCATCAGGCTCCTGGGGGTTTCAGGCACAGAGCTGGGCGCAATAATAAAGGGACTCCGCTTGCATTGCAAGAACATGTCTCTTTATTAGAAGAACCTGTGCAAGCTGTTCCCATTGACATCCAGGAGTGTGGGGCTTGCAGGTCCGCGAGAGGCAGGATCCTGCTGGGCGAGGAGCCAACTCTCAGGCTTCAGGACATCCAGGGATTAATGTCAGGGTCAGGAAGGGTTTTCCTTCCCCCTAGGGGCAGCACAGCATGAGGGGCCATGTGCCCTTGCATGGGGGCAGGGTGCTGCCTTCCAAGCATCAGGCAGCATGGAGGATTAGGGCAGAAGTGACTTCAACCCCTTTGGAGGGAAGGGGCCCAAGCCTAGGGAATGGCCTGGGGAGCTGGTGGGCGGCTCCATGGGGCCGTGCTCCAGCCTCACCCCCAGCAT